TCTTTCCTTTCATCCATCTGCAAAGTCCCTTTTGCCATGCAAGGTAACATATTCACGGATTCTGGGGATTAGGGCCTGGATATGTATCTCTGGGGGCCATGATCCAGCCTACTATGATGACAATGGCTGGCTGGGTGTAGTGGCTCACACCTGTAATCCCAGCACTTTGGGAGGCCTAGGTGAAAGGATTCCTTGAGCCCAGGAGTTCAAAACCAGCCTGTGCAACAAAGCGAGACCTTGTTTCTACAAATAATGATAACAGTAAAATAAATTAGCTGGGCATGGCGGTACACACCTGTAGTCTCAGCTATTCAGGAGGCTGAGATGTGAGGCTGTCTTGAGCCCCGGAGCTCGAGGTTGCAGTGAGTTGTGATTGCACCATTGCACTCCAGCCTGGGTGACAGAGCCAGGCCCTATTGCTAAAATAATAAGAGCTGAAAATAAAGAGCTCATAGTCACTGCAAGTTCACTGTATGCCCATACCCTCAGAGCTTCACGAGTGCTGATCGCAGCATTGGTGGTGCTATGAGAGAGAGATGTTATCATCATTCCCTTTCTCAGGTGAGAACTCTGAGGCTTAGTAACCAGCAGTGCCAGCATTTGAATCCACACTGTCGAGACCCTGAACCTATGCGACTCACCTCATGGCACCTGTAAGGCCGTGGTGGTCATCCGAGTCCCGAGTTGAGGGGAGTGTGGCCAGGCAGCTTCACGGGGAAACCTCACCATGAGCTTCCGACAGGCGCAGCCCAGCTGTCTCAGCACTGGCAGCGACCCTTCCTCATTGGCCCCTGGACACCTGCGGGCCGGGGAGGTGGGAGGCCCAGCCCCTGCCTCGCTCCAGCTTCGCTCAGTGTCTGCAGCTTTGTGGCTCCAGCCGACCGCTGCGTCTCGCACAGCTCCATTACTGTCAGCCCCTCTGACTCGGGAGCGCTGCACCTCGTTAATGTATTATTTATTTTATTACCTTATTGTAGAAGTTGTTGTTTATAATTTGCTATTCCATATAATGGCCTTCTAATGCACACACTGCTAAATAATTAAAACATGTCTTGCCGCCTCCAGTTCCTTCGCCCTGTAACGAGGCCCACTGTTTAAGTCCAGTCTCTGGTGCTCCTTTCCTGTAGAGCATCCTGGTGAAGTGGGGGTCCCCAGATGTCTGCCAGACCAGGGTGGCCAGGGTTACTGGGAACTGGAATTGGGGTGCTGCCCATCCCTTCCACATGTAGGGCAGAGAACTTGTGAGATAGACTAGATCCTGGCCCCCAAAGATGCCCACCTCCTCACCCCAGGAACCTGTGAGTATGTCACCTTACATGGCAAAAGGGACTTTGCCAATGGGATTAAGTGAAAGATCTTGAGCTAGGAGGTGCTCCTGGATGATCTTGGGCGTGCCCTAAGTGTAATCCTCAGTGTCCTTGTAAGAGGGAGGATCAGAGGAGAGAGGAGAAGGCGCTATAATAACAGAGGCAGAGAGCGGTCTGATAGTCCCTGTTTGGCTTTGAAGATGAAAGAAGAGGCCACAAGCCAAGGAATCCAGGCAGCCTCTGCAAGGTGGGAAAGGCAGGAAATCAGTCTCCTGAGAGGCTCCGGAAGGAACCAGCATTTCTGCCCTTGATTTTCACCTTATAAGACCCAATCTCTGACTTCTAGAACTGTCAGAGAATGGATTTGTGTTATTGAAAGGCACTAAATGTGTCATGATTTATTATAGTCACAAGAGGAGACTAGCCCAGCATGTCACATGCGTCCACCAGATACAGAGCTCAGTGCAGGGCAGGCACCGAGGGAGGTCAGGCTCAGGTTTAGATTCCACAGGCAGAGGGCTGAAGGGAAGGCCACACAGTGGCTTGTGAACATGGACCACAGCACCCACTCTCACTGAGTCCAGCCTGGCAAAATCCAGTCCAGATTCCCAAGCCTTGGCCAGACGGAGCTGGCAGGCAAAGAAAACCCACAGAAAACCCAGATCTTCACAGCGGCAAATGGGCTCCACGTCCTCTCCTGCTGAGCTTTCAGCGGGTGATACCTACAACCGCTTGCTCATAGTGGCATGCATTTTACAGGGAGCAAAGTCCCCCATCCCAACCGCACTTGAGAGTTAGGCAGAACAGGTTTACAGTCCTAACAGACAAGAAAAGCAAGCCTCGGAGAGGTAAAAGAGCTCAGCGAGTTGGGAGCAAACCTGGGACCCCTGTACCCCCACTGCCGATTGGGAGACAGAGCTGAGTGTTTCCAAGCCTTGCTTGGATGCATTTTCTTTCCTCTTTCTGGGGGTGCTAATTCACCCTGCCAGGCAGCAGGAACAGAGCAGTCAAGGCTGAAAGGTCCAAACAGGTCCCTAATTTAATAATTGCTCCCTGAATAACTGATTGCTTGTCCTCATGAGCTATCTGTTGGGGGCAAATGTCTGTTCCTTTCCCATCTGGAATCCGGTCTCCGGTCAGCCAGTCAGTCACCAGCCAAGATTAAGTGTCCCCGACAGCACCACATGCCAGGCCCAGGAGAAAATGACACGTGCTGTGGTCTAGTTCCTGGCCCTGGGGACTCTGCGTCTACCCAGGTAGCCAGCCCAGAGCTGGGAAAGCCAGAATCAAGAAGCAGACACCATAAAGGTTTTTTTTTTTTTGCCTCACTTTGTCCCGTCATCCCTCAGTTCATGGCTTATTTGGGGGAACAGACAGGAGGAGAGAACATGAAAGCAGACATAGTTTATGAAGAAAAGAGCCAGGGCCCTCCACTGCCCCTCCCCACCATGGCAACACAGTCGGTGTGTCGGGGAAGAGCCTCCCGTTCACTAATGGAATTCTCCCCTTGAAAGTTATGATCCTGAATGCAAAACACAGGGCGAAGCTACTTCCCATAGCTGTGGGAAGTAGAAAAGTTCCTCTTTAAAGTTTCCTTTCTTGTTAAAGAATACGTGTGCTAATAACTCTTTGTCAAGCCCTATCCTCTGTAGCTGTTAGACATGCCATGCTTACCGGCACATAGTACAGTCTGTGTCCTTGTACTTTAACCAGTATCTCTGTGCTGAACACGCTCACAGGCATGTCCCAGCTCTCCACTGCTTCTACCTGTTTAGAAAAGTTTTAAGTTGTTAGCCAATTGGGTTTTAGTTTAGACTGTGAGGTCTGGCTCCAGCCAACGGAGATCAGACACAGCAGTAAGGACAACCCCAAATGCGTAAGGGATAAATTTGTGTGTATCCCTTTGTTCTTTGTCCTCTCGTGGCACGGTGGCTAGTAAGAGCACCCTTCCTGCAGTCCAGGAAGTAAAACTTGCGTTGCTGAAAGATCCTTTGTCTCAGTGCTGATTTTACTTTGCAGCACCAAGCATCTGTTTCCAACACATAGTAAGGCGATTGTGTTCCTGCCACAGAGCAAGGGTCCCACCTCTACCAGGGCGTCACTGCCGTGGTGTGTGGTTGCCATATCCCTAGGGTTATATTATGGGTTTGCATCTATCCCAGCCTTCCTTGGCTCATCCAAGAACATGCACTGAGGACCTGCATGCTGCCAGACCCAGCTGAGAACCACGCCCCTGACCGTGAAGGAGCTCAAGCTCTGCATGGGAAAACTGACAGCAGCAGACAGCAGCAGGATGAGTTCCCGTGCGAGGGTAGAGGGAAGCTCAAAGGGCTGGGGGCAGGAAGAGGACCCACACATCCAGAAAGGCTTCCTGGAAATGTGACCCTAGTCCCAGTCCTGAGAGTTAGAAGGTCACTCTTTTTCATGAGAAACCCAGAAGTAAGAGAGGAAATAAAGCTTATTCAAGCGCCCAGAAGAAATGCTTTCTGCCTGAATAAATGGACAACTCAACTTGCAATCTTAGACATCCGGGTGGCCACATGGCATGAGCGAGCCAAGAATCTCAGCTTTTCTAACTACAGCATGTGTTTACTCAAGCCTGGCTGCAACAAGCTTCAACTGAACTTTGGGGACATGGCAATGGCCCACACCCTATCAGCTCCTACAGAAGTTATAAAGTAGGGTATTAGGAGTGGACCCCGGGCAGACAGGCACCCCGTCATTTGAAGCACTCCTTTCTTAAGTACTCTTCAGTAGGCACCTGCCACTTGTCAGCCCAGTGTTCCTTCTTTCAGGAGAAGAGCTGTGTCCAAGCTTGGGTCAGTTTTCCAAGATGATGAGCTCCCTGGTGGCCATCATGATGATGGCAGCAGGAGTTAGCCTTAAAGACTGAGAGCCTTAAAGAGGCTTAGAGGTAGTGACTCTCAGCATCTGAGTTGGATCCACTTGGTCATATGCCATGACCAGACTTCCACACGGTCAAAGCCTCAACAATTTCTCTTTTATATAATAAAACAGTAATAATCACTACCACAGGCCTCACCTGCCCCAGCCCTTGGACATGGAGGAGGTTTTCTACCCAAGGGACCCTGATAGGAAATGCATGTCGGGAAGGGCATAATGTAGATGTCACTCCACCCTCATGCCAGCTCAGCTAGCGCTGATGGAGGGGCGGAGTGCTCTCCAAGCCCTGCACTGAACACCCCAACAGGAGTGGCCCCCAGCAACTGGAAGGCCATTTCTCATGAAGCTACATCTTCCTGCAGGTGCTGTATCAACTGTTTCCAGGCTGAGTGACCTTCAGGAATACCCAGAGAAGGCTGGCAATCTTAATTCCTTAAAGGAAAAGATGAATGCCCAGTTTACCATCTCTGAGGTATTTTGAGTGAGGTGAAAAGCAGAAAGGAGCCTGTAGAGGTCTGGAGAATGGAGGTCGTGCCCCTTGCTGCTCCCTGCAGCTCCCAGGACAGAGCTGGACAGAAGGAGGCTGGCTCAGCCTCCACCGGCCCACAGGCCCTGCTGTACCTACATCTGAGCTCTCCCTGTGAAACTCCCAGCAACAAAGCAATGAAAAATTTCCAGAAAGCCAATGACAGGAGTGGGCTCCACATTCCTCTCCTGCATTCCGCTTCTCCTTCCGTAGACGGGCTGGGATTTACACAGATGTGCAGATGCACAAAAGAAAAAAGGTACCTTGCTGTGCTGTCTATAACCGCTTCCCTCTTGCTCTCGAGTCCCAGGCCTGTGATGGCAGAAACCTTGACTGTGCCAGTTGAGGCTGCTCAGTGGTTGCCAGGTGAGACCTTAGCTTCTTGCTGGCTTCTGCTCCATCTTCCAGGGTCTTCCCCTCCTCCTTCCCATGATGGAATCTGTGGTGAAGGGGTCAGTGAGGTGCTGGGGGTGGGGAAATGTTGCCTGAGGCTCCCAATGACCTCCAGTTAGGGTGTGACCTACCCCATGGGATGCCAGATGACAGCCCTGGCCGCTTTTCTGTCCTGTAAGGAGAAGTGTGGCTGTCAGGTCTGTGGACACCTGCTCTGGCACGCACTGGTCTTTGCAGCATTGGCCAGTACTCACTGGGTCTGGTTCCAGGGTCCCACACCACATGGCCTCCTCACTCCTGTCCTTATTTTAGTCACATCTGAAAAGATCTCTCTGCCACCTAAGTTACCATATTCACTGATTTCAGAGATTAGGATGTGGACATCTCCTAGAGCGGTGGAGATTATTCTGTTCACAGTGAGGGTGTCCGAGACACGTGAACCAGAACAACTCCATCTTGAATAGGAGCTGGGTAAAATGAGGCTAAAACCACCTGGGCTGCATTACGAGGAGGCTAAGGGCATTCTAAGTCACAGGATGAGATAGGAGGTCAGCACAAGATGCAGGTCATAAAGACCTTGCTGATAAAACAGGTTGCAGTAAAGAAGCAGCTAAATCCCACCAAAACCAAGACGGCGACGAGAGTGACCCAGGGCCACCCTCACTGCTACACTCCCACCAGCGCATGACAGTTTACAAATGCCATGGCAACCTCAGGAAGTTACCCTATGTGGTCTAAAAAGGGGAGGCATGAATAATCCACCCCCTGTTTAGCATATCATCAAGAAATAACTATAAAAGGGCAGCCAGCAGCCCTCGGGGCTGCTCTGTCTGTGGAGCAGCCATTCTTCGATTCCTTTACTTTCTTAATAAACCTGTCTTCACTTTGCACTGCGCACAGGCCCTGAATTCTTTCTTGCACAAGATCTAAGAACCCTCTTGGGGTCTGGATCGGGACCCCTTTCCTGTAACAAGGAGACATGAAGAGTCTTGGCTGGGGGTATCGGGGAAGGCTCTGAGCCTGTTATCACCGTGAATGAGCAAACATTCTGAGCATCGTATAGTATTTAGCTTGGACTGCTGAAGCAGAGACCCAAGGTACCAAATCCTTGCCTAGATAGAACTGCAATTCCCTCTCAGGTAAACAGCAGGGGCGAACCGCGCAGGGCTGGGAGGCAGCCTCACAGCATCGCGGGCCAGGCCCTTTCTGTCCTCTTGCTGTGCCCTCTTACTGCGTTTCCCTCAGCTGCACAGATTAAGGGGGCCCTCTGTCCGCCCAAATTCCAGCCAGCCTGCAGGGGCGGAAGTGTGTGTTTACTCTTTAAAGGCAGGACGGGGAAGTTAATCCTGTGGATCCCCTCCCACTCCCACTGCTGCTCTTGGCCACACCTCGCTGCAAAGAAGGCAGAGAAATGCAGTTCTCATTCTCAGTGTCCATGGGCATGGTTAAAAGTTCTGTGGCTATGTAGAATGGAATGAACAAGGGCAAGTGTCTTCCACTGGCACCTTCTAACCACATGGCACATGGCTGCATTGCTAGGGATACGCAGCAAGGGAGTCCCTGCCTTTGAAGAGCCCTCAGACCACCAGGGGATAGTTTGTTGTCACAGGTGCCCATGCAGCGTGCCATGGGAACCCCAAGGCTAGGCAACTGGCCAGTCCTGATGGAGGAGACCAAGGGTCGCAGTAAGTGTCCTAGGGAAGGTGGCATCTAGGCAGTCTCCAGGAGTCACCGGTCCTCCCTCGTCCTCTATGTCTCATAGGCCTGCAACTCAATGTCCCCAGTGTCCCCACCCTACTCTCCCTCTCTCCACTCGGAAGCATTTTGGCCCATGGCCACCTCTAGAGATTCTGTTCTGAGTCAAAAGAAGCACTTCTCTGAGTGTGCACATGAGTGTGGACATTCTTGGAACTCTTAGAACCCACCCCACCTCTCAACAAACAAACCATAGACCCCTAAAGAAGCTGGTTTCGGCCGGGCGCAGTGGCTCACGCCTGTAATCCCAGCACTTTGGGAGGCCAAGGCAGGAGGATCACTTGAGGTCAGGAGTTCCAGGACAGCCTTGCCAACATGGTGAAACCTTGTCTCTACTAAAAATACAAAATTAGATGGGTGTGGTGGTGCCCACCTGTAATTCCAGCTACTCAGGAGGCTGAGGCAGGAGAATCACTTGAACCTGGGAGGCAGAGGTTGCAGGCAGTGAGCCGAGA